GCAGCAGCAGCGGCCGCGAGCGCCAATGATTAAACGGGGTTTATGAAGACGAGATGAGCTGAGGGCGGCGGGGGACCGACAGCGTCATCACCATCATCGCGGACGAGACGGGGAGGAACAAGCACTTTTGGAAGAGCAGCGGGAGCAAGAGAAAGACAGATGAAAATGCTGCACGACGGCACCGCGAGACGAGAGAGAGGGAGGGAGAGGGGGAGAACAAAGAGAGAAAGTCTTTTCCACCCTCTTCACACAGCGCGCCGTCCCCTCTCCTCTCCCGCTGGATGAGATATCTCCCCCGGCGCGGGGCGGTAAAATTAACAGCAGGTAAGTATAAAGTGGGAGCGGGACAAAGGGCGTAACGAGGGACGGCGGCAACAACCCCGCCCCCCAACAACTGTTTCTAGCAAATCCCTCGAGTCGGGCCCCCACCAAGGACACTGCGTGACTCAGCGGGCGCCGCCGAAACACTCTCACAGCGCGCGGAGCAAGAAAGAAAAGAAAGAAAGTCAGTGAGTCACAGCCAAAGGAGGCTGTGACTAGCCGACCACCACCACCGCAGAACGCTGACTGTGAGCCTGTGAGCCTGAGCACGCTCCGAGCTGCTCTGTGCCGGGCTGCCTGTCCGAGTCCGGCTGCCTGTCGGGCCCCGGGAGGGTAGGCAACGCGCCCGCACAGCCGCCCGTGGTACAGCACAGCTACCGGGGGCGTCCCGCACACCGCCGGTAAGTATGTGTCTACCCAGACCAAGCGTCGCAAAATTTCACAATTCCAATGAGGACAACGTCCCTATTTGATGAGAGCAACGCCCTTGTTCTGTACCCTGTCTCTGTCTTCTGTACCCACCTGACCTTGTGTCTCCGTGCTGGCCGGCCCTCCCTGGCTCTGCCTGCTCTGCCCCGCCGCCGTGCGTGAGCTCGCCCGAGCGGTGCCTGCGCTGCGCCTTGGTGCCGCGACACTCGATCCTGACCGCCGCGCGCCTCGTGCTGCCGAGCACTGCCGCCCACGGGCCGCCGCGCGCCGCGCCAACCCCCGCGGGCCGCCCCACCACCCCCGGACGAGGCGCCAGTCCGCCGCCGCGCCCCGCCCCGCCGCGCCCCACCCCGCCCCGCCACGCGTCTGCAACAGCATGCAATCCAAGCCGTTCCTCCCCTCTCTCTCCACACCTAAGCGCGAACCACCCCCAACGTCATTTTAGTCGCATGCAGTCAGGGTTGCAAGGCGCGAGGGGAAGGGGCCGTCCACAAGCCTGGAGTCGCGGCAGCGGCTCTCGACTGAACACGCAAAAGTAAATCTACACCTGTAAGCTTAATCCGACATTTTGATTCGGACGAAAGTGCGTTGTTTGACCCGACTTCCCTTTGCACTGTGTTAAAAACTTCAGCACGCTGCAGCCCATGGGGGTGGGGGTGAGCCTGTTCCAACGCTTTCGATCCCATACCTTTTCCCTCGCTCCGGAGAGGGCCCGTGAATTCCATCTATCCGTCCCATATTCTTCTAAAGGTATCGAATAAAGTAACGCCCCACCCTTCTTTCCACCCCCCACTTCTCCCTCTCCTCCCCGTTCGACACCACCTCACCCCCGCCACCCCATTCCCGCTCAGTCACGCCTAATCCCTTCACCTCGACGCGCCTAATGATACGGCGTCCATCCCCCGGCGGAGCGTCTGCCGGAGCCGAGCGCCGAGCCAAGCGGGGCGAGATAGGGAAGGGTTTGTCGTGGCGGAGCAGGCGGAGGCTCCTCCCCCCCTCCCTCCCTTTCCCTACCCTCGCCGACGCCGCCGTCGCCGTCGTCCCGCCGCCGCTTGCTTTCAATTCCTCCCACCACTGCCTCCACTCCGACGACCGACGACGCGACACAGAAATGCAAAACTCGCCATCGGGATTACCCCCGCGTAACGACGGCTCGGCCTGAGCAGCAGCAGTAGCAGCAGCAGCAGCAACCTCAGCCCTCACCCGATCAACTTTAATTAATAACGCTTTTTCTTTGCTTTCAGTTTTTATTTTCATTTTCTTCGCTTCTTTTTTTCGATAAGAAAAATAAAGGCGAGGTCCGCGCGAGATCACTCTGTCGGGGCCCGGGGCCCGAGGGTCCAGCAAGCGGAGCAAGCGGCTGAGCAATGAGCTCCCCGAATGGCCCGGCCGGGGACTGTCACTGATTTATACCCGCTGCGGCGCGGCGTGGCGGGGCGTGGCGGGGCGGGGCGGGGCGTGGCGGGGCTCCGGTTGCCACCCGCCCGGGCCTATCTCCCCCACAAAGCACCACCAGCAGCAGCAGCTAGCCGGCCCCAAATGCCCCTGCAGTGTGCAGCAGCCGGCCGCTACTGCAGCAGACGTGCTGTGGTGCCCGGCCCGGCCCGGCCGCCACCCTTTTGCAGCACGTTTACACACCGCTCGGCGTCCCCCGGGCCGAGCCGTCGTCGCACTTACAGTACCCGCACCACCTCGAGCATCACGACGGCCCGTCGCTCCGCCCGTCCCGCTGTGTTGGCGCTGCTCGGGCCCAAAGCTCACCTGCAGACAAAAGAGAAGGGCCGTGTGAGTGGGTGGTGTCGCTTTACACAACATGGAGTGGGAGGGGCAGGGCTGGCCCCACCCACACACAGGCAGGGAATACATTCATGTTCAGAAATTAAAGCAAAGCTATATTTTTTTCTACTTTGCTTTTCATCTTTTTAATAATAATAAACATATTGCCAGGCCAGCGCGACCAATTTTTCGTCATTCTATACTGGCGGACTGAAAAGGGACCCACGTGGTATATGGGGCCGAGGGGCCGAGGGGCTGAGGAGGGACAAGAGAACGGCAGACCGGATGGCCAACCAGACGACATCAAAGGCAATCACGAGGACCATGACCCACGGTGGGTTCAGGCCAGGCCACCGCAGCACGGCGCGCACCGCCCCGCTCTGCAGCGATACATTCGGTGGCTGGCCTGTGGCCTGTGCCGGCCCCCGCCACCGCAGCCCCCTCGCTGTCAGGAAGCCGCGAACGGTCGGGGGGTACAGCAGGGGAAGGAGAGAGGGCTACGCGATAGGGTCCCTGGAATAGACTCCGTCAGTGCCATCCACCCCCACAAAAACCACCCCCAGGTGGGCGACCATACCGACAGCAGGCGATACGAGTACCGCACCACCGCTTGCTGGGTGGGGAGGGCCCGCGGGTTCGAGGGTTTCTCCTACTCCACGTTTACAACGGAAGGCCCCAAACCGTCGCGCTCCATTGTGTAAAACCAAACAGAAAGTCCTCGTCAGGCGCGGCTCTAGCGCCCCCCGCCCCCCTGGCGCCGCCGACGCCGACTGCACACAAACTCCCAGCGCCGCGGCCGCGCCCCCGCATTTCGCTCGCGGATAGTTTTCGCCCCCTATCCGCGGCGCGTAATCATTATTCCGAATCACGGGGCGGCCCTAATATTCCGCGCAACTCTCTCAAAGTGAAACAACTTTTGTCATCGCCGCGCCGCCGCCGCCGCTGCGGTCGCGCCCTCACTGTCACTGACCCCGGCGGGGAGGGCTGGAGCGCACTCCGGGACCCACCGCCCCAGGCAGGCGGCCCCCAGCACGAGGAGTAGGGCATAAAGGATCTCTCGTCTCCCTGCCCGACAACAAGGACCCACAGAGACAAGGACCCTACTGCTCCCCTCTCCAAGGACCCCACCACCACCACCACACCGCAGGACATCGGCAAACGGTACCTAAATGAGTTTGCCCACCACAGCGCGCTGTGTGCGGGTTCAAAGTCCCCGAGAGAGATTGGTGGAAGGGAGTTGATTTTTGTGCCCTCCACGTCCAGTCAGTCACCCGTCGGCCGTCGGGGCAGTCACAACAGACACCAAAAGCCTAGGCACTATAGAAGCCACTGTTAGACCATTTTCAATCCAAGTGACCGAGTTTCACTATTTTAACAGTGAGGCAAAATGTTCGACTGTTGTAGCAGGGAAGGGAGCCGGGAGACGTCGTGTCCTACGCTTGAAAATGTGGGAGTTATATCGTCCCATAGTTGTTCATAAATTACCATTCATGAAATCTCTTGCAAATTTTGCGACACCGAATTCTCAATAGTCGAAGAATATCGAGTCGATATAAAGTGTCGTTTATTTTTCATAACTTTACAATTCAAATTCGTGATATTTCACGGCATTTTCCACACTGCTGGTCTGCCGCGTTCTCTAAAATGATTCACCGGTCCAAGCCCGACCGCGACCAGATCCACACGTTGGCTGCTAGTCAGCCGTCCAGCGAGGGGCGGTGCGCAGTGCGTGCGCAGAGCAGGCCGCTGGACGGGGACGTCATGTCGCCGCTCCAGCGGAAATCCTACACCACCAACCCCTCCGACACGAACGTGTCCGCCGGGGGCCCGGAGCTGCGCGGCCGACCTGTCCGAGTAACGCACAACTACGCTATAGCGTACTATAGGGTACGCTCGGCGGCCGGGCTGGGAAATCGATAAGCAAGCAGCCCCACGTTACCTGCTGGAACGGGGCCCCCACACACTCTCACACACACACGCACTCACGCACACAAACACACTCTCACACACGCTTGCGAACACACATCGCAATGAAATGTTAAAACGCCCCACAACGGGGGCGATAAAAACAAACACAAGAGGGACCGTATCCGAAAAAAATACTCCGAAAAAACAATCCATGCATGAATATGGAGGAGGCTGGAGCTGTTGCCGCTTTGAGAGGCAGCGGGGGCTTGTCAACCCCGCTGGCGAATGTGTGAGGATGTGAGGGTGTGCGCGCGCAAACAGCTCCGAAATGGAGAGTAAGCAATCTCCTAGAACGAAGGGAACAGGTTCACCGAGAGACGATCCGAAAATCGCCGCCACCCACCTCATTTCCCTTCTTTTCCTTCCCTTCTCTGTTTTTATCATCATCATCTTCGTCCTCCTCTGTCCGTCGAGATTCCCTAACAGCAGCTAAACGTGCGAGGGGGCGCAGGGGGGCGCTGCGGGGGCCGCTGCGGGGAGACCCAGAGACTCTCAGACCCCGTAGCGCGACACGATATTTCACCCGGGAGGGTATAGGATAGCACGGCACATCTGGCCCAGATTGACCAATTTCTATCGCGTTGGCGTGAAAATGGCCGCGAGCAGGGCAACCCCTCCCACAGGGGGACGAGCCGGCGGGCTGCAGCGGGCCACGTATCCGCCGCACGCTACGCCGAGCCGCTGGAGTATTTTATCACCTGGAGGGGGATGGGGGAAGCGGAGTCAGGTCAATACATATTGGAATATACGGCGACCGACCGGTGCGGTCGGGCGCGGTGCAGCTGCACCTGCAGAATAACTTCCACAAAAATCGGATCAAACTGGGAGAACCGCTCGAATGACGCGAATATAAATAATTCCGTCCGACGTTGAGTATTAACTTCCAAGTAAATAACGTCCCATTTTGCAAGTAAATTCTCTCTACTCTCCGCCCCTACGCACTCAAGGGGCCCTCCCCGAACGCCTTTCATCCCGTCCTGAAAGGCAGCAGCAGCACCGTCCCCTTCCTTTCTTTCTCCGTCCCCCAACCCGGTCCAACGTCCTCCATCCAATGTTCCCCCGCCCGCACACCGCCCGCTCCGCCTCCGCCCGTGTGTATGCAGAGCCCTCGGACGCCGAGGTGGACTCGGGCGCCGGCCGCGCACTGAGTCGTCCACCTGAGGAGAAGGAGGCTATGAAAAATTCAGCGTGCGCGTGGCTAGAGAAGCACAATGGAGACGGCAGGGGAGAGAGGCAGTCCCCGCGAGAGGACCAGCCCTTCTGGGAGAGTGGAGTGCTGACAGAAGGAGGGGGGAGGGCACCAAAACGCGCCAACAGCAACACATCGATTCCAATCTGCTAATTGCTTTCCTATCCTGGTACACGTACAGCATCGGCGTTAGTCAGAGTCCCACCCCTCCGCACCGCTTCTGCCCCGCGCGAACGCGGAATTTAGGGGGTGAAGTCCCCCCAGCAACTTCGACCTCTTGCAGCGTCGCCGGGGGGAGGGGGCGGGGGCGGCGGCACAGAGTGGA